CAATGAAGATCTTCGTTGATTCGTCTTGAGGCAAATGAAGCTCCTTCAAAAAATTTCTAAGCCAAATGGCTTGACAAATACATGATGTAGCCGCCACATACTCGGCTTCACAAGTCGAAAGAGTCACAATGGGTTGCTTCTTTGAACACCAAGCAAATGCGGTATCTCCTATGAAGAAAACATTCCCCGTAATACTTCTTCTATCATCCATTTCTCCGGCCCAATCACTATCACAATAACCCACAAGCTTGAAATAGTTAGAACAAGAATATAACAATCCATAATCAAGTGTGCCTTTGATGTATCTAAGAATTCTTTTCGCCGCCTTCAAATGGGTCATGGTAGGAGCTTTCATATAGCAACTTACAAGACCTACACCAAAAAGAATATCCGGCCTTATGCATGTTAAGTACCCCAAGCTTCCCACTAGGCTCTTGAAATAGGTAGGATCCACATGCTCTCCCTCTTCATATTTTTACAATTTTACACCATATTCAATGGGTGTGCACACCGGCTTACAATCTTGCATCTTGAATTTTGCCAAAATTGTTTTAGCATAACCTTCTTGAGAAATAAAAATACCTTCCTTCATTGGCTTCACTTCAATGCCAAGGTAGTATGACATAAGTCCAATGTCGGTCATCTCAAATTCTTTAGCCATTGCTCTCTTAAAATCTTCAAACATTCTTGGACAATTTCCTATGAAGATCAAGTCATCCACATACAAACAAGCATAGAGTATATCACCATTATTATTCACCTTTGTATAAAGAGCATGTTCATGGGGACACTTGGTGAAATTATTTGCTTGAAAGTACTTGTCAAGTCTACTATTCCAAGCCCTTGGTGCTTGCTTCAAACCATACAAAGCCTTTTTTAATTTCAAGACTTTCTCTCCTTGCCCTTTCACAACATAATCCAAGGGTTGTTCAACATACACCTCTTCATCAAGAAAATCATTCAAAAAAGCAGACTTTACATCCATTTGATGCATTTTCCAATCTTTTAGAGTGGCTAAAGAAATAATCAAACTAATTGTTTCCAAACGAGCAACGAGTGTAAATACCTCATCATAGTCAATACCTGGTCTTTGACTATAGCCTTTTGCAACTAACCTTGCTTTATTCCTCTCCACTTCACCTTTGGGATTTTTCTTTGTCTTGTACACCCACTTCACTCCAATGGCCTTTTGTCCTCTAGGGAGTCTAGCAAGCTCCCATGTTCCATTTTTTTTAATAGCATCAATTTCTTCATTCATGACATTCCTCCACTTCTTATCTTGTGCCACTTTCTCATAGCCTATGGGATCACAATCAACAAATAGACAAAATAGTGTTAGATCACTAAATTCTTCAATTACCTCTTCAGTTTCTTCATAGATATATCGAAGACTCCTCATGCGAGGTGGCCTTTCACTTGAGCTTGCTTTGGATGATGATAGAGATGCTTGCACATTGGTGGATGATGGTGGTGATGGTGGAGGAGAATAAATGGGCAGCTCCATGATCTCATTATTAGGCTCCTCTTCTTCTTCAAAAAATGGAAAAAAAATCATAGTCTTCTTGTGGAGTGTTCCAATCCCATTCATTTTTTTCATCAAACTCAACATCTCTACTAATGATTATCTTGCCATTACTTGGGTTATAAAACTTGTAGCCTTTACTTCTTGAATCATAGCCAATGAAGACAAACTTTTCAATCTTGTCATCTAGTTTGGTCCATTTTTTATCTGGTATATGTGCATAGCATACACTTCCAAAGACCCACAAATGAGAAACATTTGACTTGATTCCTCCCCATGCTTCTTGTGGTGTTTTGTCTTGAACACTTCTAGTGGGACATCAATTTAACAAGTAGATGGCACAATCAATAGCTTCCGCCCAAAACTCCTTGGGCATTTTTTTACTTTCAACATACTCCGAGCCATATCAAGAATGGTTCTGTTCTTCCTTTCGGCAACACCATTTTGTTGTGGTGATTTTGGAACCGTTAGAAGATGGTGAATTCCATTTTCTTCACAAAATATTTTGAATTCATTTGATGTGAATTCACCTCCTCTATCAGATCTAATTGCCCTGACTTCATACCCACTTTGTTTTTCAATCAAAGCCTTAAACTTTTTGAAAACACCAAACACCTCCGATTTTTGTTTTAGAATATAAACCTACATTTTTTCGGCTAAAATCATCAATAAAGAGAAGAAAATACCGATTCTTACCAAATGATGGTGAGTCTATAGGGCCGCAAACATCCGAGTGAACAAGTTGAAGTGGTTTGGTTGCTCTTCGAATGGATTCTTTGGGAAAACTCTTTCTAGCTTACTTTCCAATTAAACATCCCTCACAAAGTTGATCCGGGTGGTTGATAGAAGGCAACCCGTTCACCATCTTCTTTCTAAACAGCAAGGTTAGTCCTCCAAAATTTAAGTGCCCAAATCTCAACTACCATAACCAAGAAGAATCTTTAACACATGCTTTCAAGCATTTTGCCACATCACTTTGAATATTTAACAAAAACATTCTATTTCTTGCCATCAGCACTTTAGCAACCAAATTCATGTTTTCATCTTTTATTGAAAGATTATGATTTTTCATACAAATATCATAACCTTTCTCTAATAGTTGTCCCAAGCTCAAAATATTATTTTTCATGTTTGGAACATAAAAAATATTAGAAATAACTTGGTGTCTTCCATCTTTCAAACGAATCAAAATATTACCTCTTCCCATTACCGAAATTTGAGAAGAATCTCCAAAAGTGACTTTTCCACTCACCGATTCATCAAGCTCCGCAAACATCTCTTTATTTTCACACATATGATTACTAGCACCAGAGTCAAGGTACCACATGTTCTTGTCTCCTTTTTGCTCTTCTTTGTATGTCAACAACAAGGTTGGTTCTACCTCTTCAACTTTGTTTTCAACAGAGTGTGCTATTTCTTCCACAAACTTATTTTTACACTCGGAAGCAAAATGGCCATATCGATGACAATTATAACATTGAATGTGAGATTTGTCATACCTCCCTTCATATGACTTTGAATTCTTGCCTTTTCCACGTCCTCTTCCACAATGTGATTCATGGCCTCTTTCTTCTTTATTGGACACATTTTGGCCAAAGTTTTCTCCTCTACCTCGACCACATCCACCACGACCTCCACCTCCCCATCCATGCCCTCTACCTCTACCTCTTTGACTCCCATCTTGCCTTCTTTCTTTTTCTTTGAAAGAAAGCTTGGTTTGTAGCACTTGCTCCAACAGCTCTTGCTTCTTCTTGCCTAGCCATTCTTCATGGGCTAACAGTGATCTCATGAGTTTGTCAATCGTCATTATGTCTAAATCTTTAGACTCTTCAATAGTTACGATAATGTAGTCAAACTTGGGGTCCAATGAATGGAGGATTGTTTTTATCACCCGGGGTATCATCATAGTGATCATCACCATAAGTTCTCAAATTATTCACAACCATCAAGATTCTTGTGAAATAATCTGAAACTAATTCAGATTCCTTCATACGCAAAGCCTCAAATTCACCTTGTAGAGTTTGGAGGTGAACTTTCTTGACTTTTTTCCCTCCACTGTGAGCAGTTTTAAGAACATCTCATGTTTGCGTAGATGTGGTTGCACTAGCAACCTTTTGTAACATAGCATCATCCAAACATTGATGGATGAGTGAAAGAGCCTTTTGATCCTTATTCTTTGTAGCTTGCAAGACTTCCTTTTGGGCTTGACTTAAGGAAGCTTCATCTTGCAGTGTTGTGTAACCAATTGTTACAATCTCCCATAAATCTTGAGATCCAAGAATTGCCTTCATGCGGATACACCAATTCTCATAGTTTTTTTTTGATGAATCGACGCATTTGAAAAGGAAGTATTTCATTCGTCATCTCTTTCTTACTTTCTCTTTTCAACACTCAAGCCTAGCTCTGATACCACTTTGTTGGAATCTAGAGGACTATCACACACACACAAAAAAATATAATGGGAGGGACTATTGAAGATTGAAAGAACTCTTTGTATTCCCTCATATCCAAATGGATGTATTACATAGGATATATATAGACTCTTATGACTTACAAAATAACCATACTACATAATACAATAACAAAAATAATAAAGACCCCACTCCTCCATTACTTGGAGAATTAAAATACCACAATTACTTTGTCCCCCACTAATATCAAATTGATGACCCACTAATACACAAAACTAAATGGATAAAAATAACTCCTAAAACCTGAAAAGTCATATTTAATATTATTTTTCCAACACTACTTGACCTGTCATCTTCTTCACCTCTGCAAATAGGGTTGTTGATTAGTTGTGTCATATTATGTTTCTAAACCATATAAGATATGCCATGTCAAAATTTGCTTAACTTATATTTGACTTGTTTATAATTATTTGGGTAGATTACACTTTAACCACCACAACTATGATTTTTAGTTTTTCACATTAATTACCCCATCAATTATCATATTTTTTGCAATACACCTTTAATTATGTCATTAGTTTCACACATTTCCCAATAATTAACGTTTGTTACAAATATGATGAAAAATTATCTCCCCACCCCTAACTCGGAACTGTGTTTTTTTTTTCATGTTGCCTCTAACATGTGGTCAATTTTTGTCCAAAAGGAAGTTTGGGTAATCAATTAAAATAGTCAAGGGATTAAAGGATTGAAATTTGGTTCATAGTTAAAGGGGGTTAAAGTACGGTTTGACCAAATTATTTGAAGTTTGGCTGTGGTGTGGTGTGTTGTGTTCTTGTCGTGTACTTGTGTATAAGCCATGTTTAGTCAAGTCATGTTTAATCAGGTTCATACGTGACACTGACAACCCTACCTGTAATGCTATACTTCTGCAGTTGAGTTTCTCTTTCCACCTTTGTGGACATTGCTTGAATTCTTTTCCTCAGCTTGGAAGTACCGAAATCTACCATTGCCTCTAAAGAAGTGACACAATATTGTTCCTCCCCTTTGATGCTAGGCTCCTCACACTACTGTATGGTTTTCTTCATTACTTCAGCTTCCACTGAATTAGGTGAAACTGAGAGTTTGTTCAGAATTTCAGGCATTTTTTCGGATGCAAAAGAGATCGATTCTGCAGCTAGAGGAGGCAAAAAGGCAGATTTTCTTCTCATTTTGATGAAGTGCAAGTTCATCTTTGTGCCTTTGTGAATGTTCTCCTCCAAAAAGAAAAGAGCAACATTTGGGTTATCATGGAGTTGGTCCTTATGACTAACATATCCATACCCAAAAGCCACCTTCATACTTGTCTCTAAATCTACAACATCTTTCCCCACCACAACCGAAGTGCTTTGAGGTTTTTCCCAAACCCATGCCGCCTCAAAACATAATTCCCAAACACAGTCACTTTTAAACTTAATTCTCAAACCCAATCGTTTTTTAAAAATGTCATTTGAAATGATGTCTTCTCACCTAAAAATGTCATTTGGAATGACGATTTAAAGTTTTAATTTTTTTTCTTGAAAACGTCATTAGAAATGACGTTTTTGAAGTCGTCATTCAGAATGACGTTTTTAAACATAATTTTTTTAAATGGTAGTAACGGACGTTAAAAATTACAAAGTGGATGAAAATGTCATTTTGAATGACGTTTTTAAAAACATCATTTTAAATGACGTTTTCATCCCTTTGTTTAAATGACGTTTTCTATCCCTTAACTTTTTACAATGACATTTTCTTCCAACCCAACTTGTATTAAGTTTGATAAAAGCTAATAATTCAACCTTATGTCTCACATAATAATTCAGCAGATAAAAAAAATTAAATAAATTTAAATAAATATAATGTCATGTTCATAATAATTTTAAACTTATTTTATAATTGAACATAAAATTCACAAAAGCATAATTTAATTTCTTATTTTTCAATATAAAAACATATTTTTAAACATATATTTAATAAAAAAACATAAAAGCGTGTTTTGAAATCACACTTTTATATCAAAAAATATGTATTTAACCCATTCTTTAACCCGTGCTTTATTAAGTTGCAGACACTCCTGATCATGAAATCTTAGTATGAATTCTAACATTTTATGATCGATCATGCCATTTAAAATTGTAACTTACACCTCGAAAAAATTACAACTTTGCCTTAAAAAGTTTTAATTTTCGATACGATACCACTGATGGTACCATATCGTTCCCCCATTTTAATAAGAATATATTACCATTGCTTGAAGTTCAATCGCATTACACATAGTATCCGAAAAAGAGAAAATGTAAATAAGAAATTATATTTTAGTCGTCACCCATTTTAGTTGATGTGCGCATAAATTGATTAAAAAAAATCTCAATATTATAATCTCACTTTCCATGTCATATAAGTATCTCATTCTGGAGGAGCTTTTCCCCAAACCCAGTCGGACCTAAAACTTTATTTCTCAAACTTAGTCTTTTTTTGTAAAACGTCACTTTAAATGATGTTTTTAAAAAAAAAAAATTTTTAGAAATTTGATTTGTATATGTTAAAAAATTATGTATTCCAATTTTATGTTATAAGTTCATCGAACATTTATAGTAGACCTACAAAGGTGTGCAAAACTTCAAAATATGAAAAAAAAAAAAAAAAAAGAGACTTATACATTAAAACAAAACAAATTTATTACATGACACTATAAGAAATACAGTTTGTCAATAATATGGTTGATATAGAAAATAACATAGAAGGTTACCCAGTACACATAAACTTGATGGAATAAAAGTGTCAGACGCATCATCACTTAAATCGGAATAATCAGAAAGTTCTGTATCTGAAACAAGTAATGGATCTTGCAAAATTTGAATCTCAGCATAATTAGGATCGAAATGCTCAATTTTTGCGTGGTCGATTGCATGGCAAACAATCAAGTCTACGCTGCATTCGCCATTTTCACGTTCAAGCCTTGCTATGATCTCGTTATGGTTGATAGAGTTT